AAGAGAAGGAGGAAAAGGAGAAGAAAGAGGGGGAGGAAGAGGAGCAGGATGAAGAGGGAGAGAAGGAGAAAGAGGAAGAAGAGAAGGAGGAAAAGGAGAAGAAAGAGGGGGAGGAAGAGGAGCAGGATGAAGAGGGAGAGAAGGAGAAAGAGGAAGAAGAGAAGGAGGAAAAGGAGAAGAAAGAGGGGGAGGAACAGGAGGAGAAAGAGGAGAAGGAGGAGAGAAAGAGGAAGAAGAGGAAGAGGCGGATGAGGAAGAGGGGGAGGAAGAGGAGCAGGATGAAGAGGGAGAGAAGGAGAAAGAGGAAGAAGAGGAAGAGGCGGATGAGGAAGAGGGGGAGGAAGAGGAGCAGGATGAAGAGGGAGAGAAGGAGAAAGAGGAAGAACAGGAGGAGGAGGAAGAGGCAGAGGAGATGGCTTAAGAAACAAAATTGCTCACTTCCCAGAGTTCACAATGATCAAAGGCTCGGCTGCAGTCAAAGGCTGATTTATTCAAGGATTCTGAGCCAGATTCCTGGGATTTTTTTTTGCTTCCTCAAAAGATCCCATCAAATATCTTCTGACCCAACTATCTCACAGGGGCCTGGCCAAAAAAAATAACATAAACCGAAGGGACCAACTTCATGGAGACAATCCTCGTCTTATAGCCATCCCAACAGTTACAACGGCACTTGGGAATCATTTTTTCCACACTTACGACCATGGCTGTAACCCCCCATGGTCAGCTTATGCAAAAGATGGATGCCAGGCAATTGGGTTCATAGTTACGACGGTGGCGGGGCTTTGGGGGTGATGGGATCACATTTTGGGGGGGGGGGGGACTTTCTGGCAAGTGAAACCCAAGGGGAACCTGGACTCGCCGAACAATCGTGTTGCTAATTGAACAACGGCGGCGATTCCTTTAAGGACGGCGGCACGGAAGTCTGTAAAACGGGGCAAAAGTCCCCTTCGCCGCGGTCTCGCTTAGCCACAGAGACGCCGGGCTCGATTCCGGTTGCAAGGCGAGGACGGTAAGTAAAAAGGGAACTAACGCCCAACTACGGCGCGCGGCTGTCGCTGTGCAGCAAAGAAGAGCCACATTAACACAAACGCCACGCAACCCACAAGCTTCCGACGGCATCCTGTGTGTATGTGTGGGTGCGTGCAAAAGCATTGGACTGACCTGCTTGTGCTGCTCCTCCAGTCTCCACGCCTGTCTCCCAGTTGGAGCCCCGGAAAAGAGGACGTTGGGGGCTTCCTTCCCCGCTTGGTCCTTTCCCTGGGGATTCCGCTGGGCGCCGAGAACCGGCAGAGGCTTAGAGGAAGGAGTCACTCTTTGGTTGTGGGAAACCGCTTTGGAAGCGTGAAAGTATTGGAGAGCCGATCGCGCCTCCTGGCCAGTCCTGGGGGCGCTGTTGNAAAAAAAACAACAACCTTGCACTTCAAAATTAATTTTTAAACGCCTGCTTGGAAAAATGGGTCTTTTATAGATTTCTGAAAAAGGGGGGGGGAAGAGCAGAGGCTTAGCCCCATTCCTGAGGGGCTGCATTCCTGAGTCCGAACGCAGAGCAGAAATGTAATGCAAAGGCGAGGGGCCAAAATATCCTGGGGAAATAAAAAGGATGATTGAATCACCTGCTCTCAAAATCACCAGTGTGCTCAGCGTCTGAGAGGCTGCGGCGTAAAACGGGGGCATTGAAATACGGTGGGAAAATAAGCGGGAGGAGAAAGCAGCCGAGTTACTTTTCGGGGAAATGAGTGGCGAAAGTTTTCTTAGATTCAAGTTATTTTGTTTTCTGAAAATGAACGGTGAGTCTTCCTAGATTCTCACCTGTTTGCCATTGGTTGCCAACTCAGTTGTGTTTCCCAATATAATAGCTTTTGTAACAATAGCCCAGGAGATGCTTCCTTAAGTACTTGAGCCTCACAACTGCCCGAAGAGTCACCCACAACAGCACTAAACACCGCAAGCAGCATTACACAACACCCCTAAAAAAGCGGATGCAATTACGCACTCCAAATGTCAGGAAAAGTGCTGGGTTTTTTTAAAAAAAAAATTGCTGTAAGAATCCGACACAATTACCCCTCAACCCTTGCACACGGCAACGTTTGTGCAGCGTGCAGCACCCCAGAAATGGTAAACATAATCAATGGTGCCACTTGCTCGCTCAAGATTCAGCGGGCCAAAAGGCCTACTTGCACCAAGGAGGAGTAAAATACTCCCAGGTTGCATCAGCCGGCCTGCTTTTTAATTGCAACACTTCAAAGTGTTCTTTGGCCACCGAAAGCACAAGGGCCCCGTTATTATTCTCAAGGCCGTTGAAGCTGTTGGTGTGAACTGCAAACACAACTTGTGAGGGGAAATGGGAGAGGCTTCCCAGGGTCTGTATAAATAGGAAGCCTACTGTCTTTCTTTTCTTTTCTTTTTTCTATGCGCACTTCCCCCTTGCTTAATTCACGGTGGCAGTCAGGAGCCTCCGAAGGTTTCTCCCTTTGGCTTCTGCTCGTAAAAAAATAAGGAAACGCGCAAAGGAGCTGCTCCTAAGTGGGGGGGGGGAGAGAACGGGGGGGGGGGGGGAGGGAAGAAGGAAGGGGGGGGGAGGGAAGA